TGCGTTTACTGTTTGCGCGGAATTAGCATGATTGTTCACAACCCTTGGGCACTCAGAACGTTTATGGAAACCCCTGCAGACATAGCACCTTATAGGACCTGTGTCTTGGCCCCCATTGATACGTGCGGTCCTTCATTGTGACGTGCTGAGGCGCTTCACGCTGATGTGTGTGGTACCAAGATGAAATAGGCCAAGTAGGGGTAAAACAGTAGTTACTTCAATGCTTTCAAAATGTAGAGCTCGAACGCTATGCGTTAAGTTCCAATGGTTGTATTGATATATACAATCAGCAATGATCAACACAAGAATACGTATGCAATCAATAATCAACTCGTTCAACCAAAGCTCACTCGTACATCCATGTATTGATATGTCCTCACGATAGGTCGCAGTCCGACCTTGAGATCATGACAATCATCTTGGTCCTCGGACAAGTCCGAATTAAGCAAGGAAAGTATACCGGCATACTGCCGAAAATGTAGTATTCACCAGCTTCCTGCTGAGGTCTTGGAGTCCCGGGGTAAAACGTCCTCAAGGATCCAACTTTATATAACGTTTGCTTCCGTGGGATCCCGGGGTAAAGCGTCCTCAAGGATTCCCACGTCCGTCTCCTTCGGACTTTAAACATCAACTGCTTTGACAACAATATTCTCATAACAACGTTACGTATTGTTTTGACGTCTTATTTGCTCACTCCGTACTGGTGCGTTCTGGTGCACATTCGCACCCGACAGCTTTTCCCCCCTCCCTAGGACGACCGAGCACTAGGGCTTGTCGTAGTCTCGGTCGGAAAACTGGAGTCATGTCGCGGCAAACAGCACCAGTACGAGAGAGCAAATAAGAACACTTGAATACACACACACTCACTCCTCAATATATCGTCAATACATTACTAAATGCATGCAAAATATAGATTCCTGACTTCACTAAGCATTATTATCAACAACATTATTGTTATCCAAATTATTTTTCATAACATCATGCATTTTAAATATCATGTAAATTAAACAAATAAACATCAATCGTCTTCCAATGCCTCTGGGGTGCGCGACAAAAAATCGGCTAAGACATTCTCTTTCCCTGGGCGATAAATAACTGTGAAGTTGAACGTCTGTAGAAACATTGTCCATCCTAATATGCGTGAGTTTTTGATGGGTGCTGAGTTCAAGACTTCGAGTGGACGATGGTCTGTCAAGACAAAGAAGTGACTGCCATACAGGAATTGGGTAAACTTCCCTATTGCCCAAAAAATGGCTAGTGCTTCCCTTTCGCCCACGCTGTAACGGCATTCAGTAGGAGACAGCTTCCTGCTGGCATAAACAACAGGAAGTAGGGTGCCCTCTCTGGATTGCAACAACGTCCCACCAATCGCCACATCGGACGCATCAATTCGGTGGCAGACAAACAACACACTGCAATGTTAGCGATGAAAAATCGCTAAAATAACGACCGGTACAGCGGCAAGTAGCAGATCAATGTACAACCAAAAGGACGACTTGATCCGACAATCCCACGGAGAGTGACACAGTCAGTAACGGTGACTTGATTATGATGAAGATCCAGTGAAGTGTGATACAGTCCCGATGAAGATCCAACGAACGAAGAATGATACGGTCCCGATGAAGATCCAACGAAGAGTGGCACAGAGATCCAACGAAGAGTGATTGATAAAGTCCAGATAAAGATCCAACGATGGCTAGAACAGACCGGCGGCGGCGGCGACTTGATACATTGAACGATATCCACAGCTAGAGATATGTTAAGACTGTGACAACTGGAATGTGCTTCGTGTACAACTTGAGGCAAACAATAACAATGCGACAAAATGTCGTATCACACTTGTGACGAGAGGTTCCTCATTCTTTAAAGGCTGGCTCCCATTGTGACGTGCGGAGGCGCTTCAAACTGATGTGTGTGGTACCAAGATGAATTAGGCCAAGTAGGGGTAAAACAGTAGTTACTTCAATGCTTTCAAAAGGTAGAGCTCGAACGCTATGCGTTAAGTTCCAACGGTTGTATTGATGTATACAATCAGCAATACAAGGAGAAATATGCAGTTACTAATCAAGATTCATTCACCAAAGCTCGCTCGTACATCCATGTAATGATATGTCCTCACGATAGGTCGCAGTCCGACCTTGAGATCCAGACGATTTACTTTCTCCTCGGACAAGTCCGAATTAAGCAATGAAAGTATACCGGCTTGCTGCCGAGAATGTAGTGCTCACCAGCTTCCTGCTGAGGTCTTGGAGTCCCGGGGTAAAACGTCCTCAAGGATCCAACTTTAATAACGTTTGCTTCCGTGGGATCCCGGGGTAAAGCGTCCTCAGGGATTCCCACGTCCGTCTCCTTCGGACTATAAACATCAACTGCTTTTGACAACAACAATATCATAACAACGTTACGTATTGTTTTGACGTCTTATTTGCTCACTCCGTACTGGTGCGTTCTGGTGCACATTTGCACGCGACACTAGGGTGACCTCTTATTTTCACGTCATATCTTTTCATGTCCTGCAGCTCTTCTAAGGCATTTCATCTCTGTTGTCACAATTTTACGTTCATTGGAGGATGTTAGTGTCCACGTTTGGCATTGATAGCATAGTGTTGGCCAAAAAATAGTTCTGATAAGATTCACTTTAGTACTCCGGGGTATCTGCTTGTGTGTCAACAGGGAAGATAGTTGCCCCATTACTTGATTAGCCTTTGCACATCTCGAGCTAATTTCTCTGTCCAATTTTCCGTCGGATGTAAAAATTGCTACGAAAATTCCTCTGTTTGTCGTGAAGTGCTATTTTAAAAAAAATTTATTTCTAAATTATATTTCTGTCTTCCTATCACAATTGTCTCAGTCTTCGTAGTGTTTATTTTCATATTATATTCCTCCCCTTTGTTACTAATTTAATTTAGGTGGTTCTGTGGGTATTCCGTACTTTTTGCTATGGGTGCATGGTCGTCAGCAAATAGTAATTCTGTAATATCTTCTTCATGATTAAAGTTCGTTTCCTTACATATGGTATCCATGTATGTTATAAAAAGAAGCGGCAATAGTACACAGCAATGTTTCCCCGTTGTAAATTTGAACAAAGAAGACACAAACAATAGACTGCACAATTTATTGCCTGGCATATTTCGCTGTATCTCATCAGGTGCATACTTCAGTAACAATTAATTAAAATGAAGCAAATAGCTGAATCCTAGAAACTGAAACACAAATTCGAGTAGATTTCAAACTGTTTTACCAAGGTAAACGTAGGGCAACGACCATTTCCTTTTGCCTACAAAGTTCCGGTTTCAATCTGCCAATCGCTGAAGCTTCCGCGTATCGAAGTAATCTACGGTTAGCCGAACTGTAAATAATTCGGAATGCATCATCCCTGTTAATGATGTGCCCGGAATTTAGAATATGGCACGCAATTGCTGATGATGGATTATTTCGACAAGTTACCTGATTCGTTTGTTGTTGAGGTGTTAGTGTTCTGCATTGCTTTTACCAACCATAGTGGAATATGTTCAGCAACCCGTTGTTCCAGTCGTCGATCAGTTCTGCCCACATATGCAGCGTTACAGGTGCATTTAAATTGGTATATACAGTTAGATCTGGCGTACGTCGACACTGGTTCTTTTACTGGTGGTGTAGGAATCCTGGTGGTTTTAAATCTCATAACAGGCATGGCTGCGTAAAAGGTTTGACGGACTGCTGTTTTGAGTCGGTCATATATACGTTGCATGACGTCGTCTCCCCGAAACGTTAGATGTATATAGGCTAGTTTTTTTGGCACCGACATTTCTAAGGTAACTGGTTTAGGCGGCTGGCAATGGCACTTAATAAAGCCACCTGGATATCCATTAGAAAGCAGTGTTTGTTTAATCGTATCAAACTCAGCTTGTAGCGTGTCGATGGAACAAATCTTCCTAGCACGGTGGAATAATGTCCTCACTAGACCACGTTTGTATTGCAAAGGTGCAAAACTGTTGAAATGGATGTATTGGCCCGTCCAAGTGTCTTTACGAAAAACTGACCTTTCAATAGTACCATCATCTCTACGTCTGATTTAAAATGTCTAAAAAGGCCAAAGTGTTACTACTTTCATGTTGTAGGGACACAGTGATGTTTTTGTGCATTTGATTCATTTTGGTGTGAAACGACTCTGCCTGTTGTTTGTTAGTGGCGATGATAAATATGTCATCAACGTAACGTCGGTAAAATACTAAACTATCAATATCCAAAGACATCTGTTCCTCCAAGTGTGCCATAAAGATGTCCGCTAAAATAGGGCCTAGAGGGCTTCCCATGGCCACACCATCAATCTGGCGGTAAGACTGCTTTAGAAAACTGAAATTGATGTTCGAAGTGCACAACATTAAAAGTTCCTCAAGTTTTGAAATAGGTAAACCTACCTGCAGATGTTTATTTTCTATACGGTCACATATAATTTTCACGGTTTCTTCCAAGGGCACGTTTGTAAATAGTGATGTTACATCCATTGATGCCATGTAATGGCCCCCAAACTTACAAAGATACTATCTATATATGATTAGTTAGATTGTTTTTTTAGGGTAGGCTCGGCCCTCTATAAAATTATGGTGCCAACTCTTTCGGGTTCCTTGACCCTGTAGCACCGAATTCTGATACGCCAAGGTTGTGAAAGGGTCCTTTTGTTTTCTTGAATCCTTGTAAGGAATGGTCGGCTCTGTAACTAAGTCGATGCGAACGCTTTGTAATGCCTGAATGCCAAGTTCGATCCCAGCTGCGGGCTATACGCCTTGCGTTGGTTTCGACAGTGGTATCAAAAAAGCCGACCGTCCAGGAAGCAATTGCACAAACTGCTGGACGTAAATTTGCTTAGAAAAACCACACAACAACCAGGGGCTGTAAGGGATACGCAACTAACCTGTAAGGAATGAGAAGCCATCAAGTTCAATAACCCGTACACGTTCTTGTCAATATTTGTTTTCCTAGTTGTCCCGCCTGCCAAATTCTGGAAACCAAAAATCAAAATGGCCGAGCCAAGCGTGGATACGTTGAAAAAGGCAATCAAAGGTATCTCTCTATTAAATATAACTGAAATTAAATTTCAAAGTCGAAGAAGAATTACTGTACATTGCTGTATTACCAGCTAATGTAAATACTCAGCAAAAGAGACGCAGAAAGATAAACACGTTAATTACGCAAGATGTTTAGAATAGTTAATTTAAGAAGATACGAAACGAAGCAACTGAAAGCCGACAACAGTATTAAGTCAAAAACAAACAATATGATGTTTTAAAGTTAAATTTGAAAAGGAAGAGGGGGTTATGTTAACACACAAGTGACAAGTATCTTGTGTGGCTGGTGTGCAAGAAATGGGTCGATCTATGGTGAACAGCTAGCTGTTTACACATGCTCAGAACCATGGACATGGGCACTCTTCACAATACAAACTGGTTCCATATTATAGAGCCTCAGTCCCTATCAAGAGTTTATGTAGTAAAAACATTTATACCATCATCATCAGTTTCTAATTCTGTCGTTATTGTGCGATGGAAAGAAAGCAATGTTTAGATGTTAAGCTAAGCGAGTGGGGAGGAATAGTTTTTTATCTGTTAAAGCGCTGTGGGAAGGAACATATTTTTATCCATTGTTTAGGCCTTGTTGGGAGGAGTAGTTGTCGATCCATTTAAGCGTTGTGGGGAGGAATATTTTTTGATCCATTGTTAACATTACCCCTGACCCTTATTGTGGGTTGTAGGGCCACATATTTGAGGGGGGAGGGGAAGACCCTCATTGTGGGTTGTAGGGCCACATATTTGAGGGGGGAGGGGAAGACCCTCATTGTGGGTTGTAGGGCCACATATTTGAGGGGGGAGAGAAAGACCCTCCTTGTGGGTTGTAGGGCCACATATTTGAGGGGGGAGGGGAAAAAATAGATCCACTGCCACCTAAAAAGCATATAGTATACGGTGACTAATTAGGACTTTGCTGAAATCAGATGTGTTGAGGCAGAAGGCCCAGATATCACAGCCTAGCTGTAAACTACAACACAATGTGCCAACTGCCCTTTCAAAGGCGAACGAAAAGAAAAAAGATTGCCTACTCGTGATATGACCATTGAGCATCTCGCCCCTGCTATCGCAGCCTAGCTGTAAACCACAAGACCGAGTAAAAGGCACAGATATTGCAGCCTAGCTGTAAACCACAACACAATGTGCCAACCGCCCTTTCAAGAGTTAAAAAAGATCAACTTACGGGGAATCGAACACCGGTCACCTGTGTGACAGGCGGAATACTTAGCACTATATCACTGATGACCCGAGATTTTGGTTCCCATGAAATTATATAATAACGCAAAGCATAGTGCATAGTATTCCTATCCCATATTTTTTACTATTTGACATCTTGAGGCCCTGAATAGGAGTGCCAAACCATGTAATATCGTGTCGGGACCACCCCAGGATTCTGCAATTTTACCAGTTTTCTTCAGTGTGTATACAAGCAAGATTGCAGAACTTGAAACACCAGGTGTTGGAAGATAATTGACATTTGGCGATGATATTCTTGCATATAGGCAGGGGAGTGATATGCAACGGATAGCCTAAGAGCTACAGGCAACTGTAGACAAAGTAATCTGATAATCTGGTAATCTTAGTTTCAGCTTCATAGAAAATGGGTCACCCCATAGCTGCTCCGCTCCTGTGCCAACGAAAAACACACAGAATGTTTATCACAGTCCTTTGTGGAAAGATTGACAGACTGCTGTCTCGGCATCTGCACTGGTAGACACACGCATTAAAAGCATACGGTAGCCATCTGAAGTGCTAACACAAACAGTCCAACATTAGAAAGGCAGTTTATCATGGATGATAGCAGAAGTCATCAACAGATCAGCAGTTGCACACGCGATCAATTTTAATCACAAGTGATGTGATTATCTATACAGTCAGACAATTACTGGTGCCATTGGAATTGGAACTCTACGCTTACTGCTGAAGAGTAGTTGGAGCGCTTATAGGAGTTTTCCGAGTGCTGTGATACGGATTCCTTATTCAGCATTCCCAGTTGGTCTTCTTTCAGGGCAAATCGGTTCCTCCCTGGGAAATAAATTTAAAAACATCCCGGTTATCAATAAAGTCTGAAGGGAAATTAATTTCTATAGTTTTTTTTTTTTTCAGTGGTCTAATAAACAGTGAAATCATAGGGTGCTATTGAAAACAATATTGTCATTTATTTGCAGTAAAGGCAAAAAGGCAGTACTTGAAACTGCGACCGTTTTTCGCTTATTGCTGGCAAAAACACAGAGATGAAAAAATAAAAGAAATGTCTGGGCAACCACAGGTGTCAACAGTTATAAGACAGAGAAGATGGTGCAGAGAAGAAACAAACTTGTTTACTTGTTTCAGTGAATCAGGTTAGACAGGACTAGTTAAATCTAGGGCATCCAGAGACTACTCTCTCACTCTCTCTCACACATCACAGAGAGATTGAGATCTGAAAAATCAGCTATGTAATTAAAGTGTGGATGATATTTCAGTGTGTTGATTCCTGATCCTCCTTCTTCTCCAGTCATGTTCTGTCTTTGAATATCAGGGGTTTTGAAGGGGCATCGGGTGTGAACCTTGGTATGTGCTGTGTCGATGTTGGTGTGTACGACCTCAGATATTCCATCTGTCCATGACTTGCGTGTTAGACCCCAACTTTGCTTTCATTATGTGACAGAGATCTCTCTGGTGCACTATCTGATGTAGTCTTGACACATGTCTGAATGATTTGATTTGTTGCGACTTTTCTCTTGATATAGTTTAGTACTGGTTCCGTCTCACCTTCTTTCCTGATATTGTCATTTCTGATCTTGTCTCGTCTAGTTATATTTAGGATTCATTTAGACATTCATTTATTTTGTTTCTCTTTTTGTTGTCATCGTTAATATCCACATTTGGCACTGGTAACATATTAGTTCTTTTTTGATGATCCTAATGGAAACAAAATGATGACCTGATCATGTCTTGGTTATGCCGTGCATGCTTTCTCAGTGACTTCATTAGCATGCTCAGAAAGATAGAGACTGGCTTGGTCTGAAGACTGTAGTGGTTGGAGTCTCTAAAGCAGATGGGGTTGACTCATATCAGTTTCATATTTGTGTCAGGGCACGCAACGGGCAAGGAAATAAGCAAGCTGAGAGGCTTGCAGGTAAAGCTTGTGTGGAAGACGGATGAGCCATGGACCAGTCAGATATTCTGAATGATCTACAAGAAGTAAGATGTTTGTGATAACTGTAACCAAGTGATGACAGTAAATCTGCAAACATGACCAGACTGCAAGAGCTACATGTTAAAAGAGGTGTGGCCAGACAAGAGTATTATGCAGGTTGTCAAAGAAGAATAAGAAACCAACACAGAACAAATGTCATCAGCCGCTACATACTGCAGGATTTACTAAGGATTGGATCCGAGCACTTATTTACTGAATGGTTCAATGTGCAATGAGGATAATCTTTAGACTAACTAACATGTCCTGAATAAATAACTTGAACTGTTAAGGTTTAACAGATGCTTTTGTTTCTTGGTTTTGGTTAGATGCATATTTTTTACAGGATGTTGCAGAACCAGCTCTATAGTTTTTCAGCTGTTTAAAATCAGTAGTTTGTCATTGCTTTCTTGTACAGTCATTGCTCCATACCATTGGTGAAATCAGTGTAAAGCAGTCTGCTGTCAAATTGCCTGAAGCTGGAATCAAACTGGGTATTTGAGAATTACAAAGCACATTCACGTTACCTAAGTCATAGTTGCCAACGCCTTTATATTCCTAACAATAACAAACCACTTTCTTGATTGTCTATATCATTTATATTAACCATAAATATGTAATATTCTACTTCATTAAGACAAAAAAATGGCCCTTGTTCCCCATCATATTTTGAATGTGAATTTGAAAAAATCTACTTTTTTACAGAAATCTTGAAAGGGGCTGACCTGGACAACTTGTCAACAAAAAAGGTCAGAAAGTTGCTGGAAGAAAAGTTCACCACAGATTTCTCTGAAAGGTAATTCTCACATACTTCAATTTTAAATATGTCTGTATAAAGATATATTTGTGAACCTGTAAGTAATTCATTAAATAATAACCAACCTTTGACAGTTGTTCTAATATTTATGAGTGTAAAAATATTTATAAACAATGTATCTAGAGGTAATGAAGAACCAAGTGCCATCTTCACATGAAAGGTTGGCAGCATTGGATCTCCAGCACTGTGTTTCTTGTCATGCTAGTACCCTTGTTTAGTCTGCTGTTTGTCTTGTGATTTTTTTAAAAATTTTTAGCCTGCTGTATGTTTTTCTCCTCTTGTCTCTTTTTAGTATGCTGTTTGTTTCCTTCCACTTTGTTCAGGATTTCTGTGTCCAGGACTTTACATGAAGTCTTCAAAGTACTCTTGCTGAGTTAGATTTATTCAGTTAATTCATTCGTTCATTCATCAAAAATTTGCATTCATTCATTCACTCTCTCACTCACTCACAATTCATTCACTGATTCATTCATTGTCCTGTAGGGCTCTCAGTCTGTTTGTCCATTCTATTCTATTCTGTGTAGTTACTTGCAGTTGATTGGTCTAAATAAAATATGCAACCAGTACGATATGTCAGATACACATGAAGATGTGGAAATTAATGATTTTTCAAATATACTTTTAATTCTATCAAGTGCTACTTGTGGCTACACTGAGAGCATTAAATAAATTAATCTTTCAATTGATGGTCTTGTACTCATGCTACAAGACTTGCTCGGGGAATTTATAGTTACACCTGAATGTAGGATGCTATGAAGTTTCGCTGTACAAGTGAACGGAATCACATGGCACATACTAGTGTGGTTGTAGTACTGTGACTAAACATAGACTATGTGACTGCATTGTGATGTGAGGAACCAGTGTTTTCTTACATTCTCCCCCCACCCCCATTCCAAAAAAAAAAAAAAAAAAAACATTTCTGGTGTCTGTTGCTAGGTTGGTCTCAGAAATAGTAAAAGTGTATCTTTAGTCTATCGTGTTGATTCAGCTCTGACTACTGTTTTAAACCTGTGGATTGTTTCTGATGTTTCCTTTTCCAAAAATTGTGTACATGTAAATTTGCATGTTTGTCTGGTAAAGATCTGATAACATTCTTTCTTCTTCTTCTTTTCTCTACTCATGCAATGGCTTATGACCTCAGCACATAACATTTATTAAAGGTATTATAATCACGTTTTCATGGGAGCAGTCAGTGTTGATACCTTGGGTTACCTGCTGCATTGGGGGCCTAAACTTGCGTGAGAATACTCTGATATAACATTCATTAAAACGTGAAAAACGTTTGCTACAGGCCAGTGGTGTTAACAGGAAACAGTATAGAAAATTGAAAGGCAGATTTCTGTAGTATGTACTGACCAAATGTGAAAATTTAAAATGACTCATGACAGAATGTTTGGATTGCAGTGAGAAATGATCAGTTTACATACCATGCATTGCTTGGAATTTAAAGAGCTAACTAGTGTATTACCAATAAAGTGATCAAGTTATTTTTTTAACTCCCCCATCTCTGTTCATTTTTCAGCTTTGTGAATGCTTTTCCTGGTATGTTTTTTATTATTATTCTAGATTTCAGGGTTGAGTGGCTTAGTGGTACTGCATTCACCTTTGACTCATGATAGTTGGTTGAAATAAATTTTTTGGGGACAAAATACCAGTAGATTTTGTACATACTCCTGATCCGAGTGTTTGTAGATTTGAAGCCTGTCTTGGATAATAGTGAAACATAGTATTCATGGCAGTTTGCACATGTAAACAAATCATTTGACAGTTGTAAATCTAAAAAGTGATTTGAATAGGGTTATGAGAAAGTTCAAAAATTAGAAAAATCCATGCCAAAAAGCCCTATTGATAAGTCTTCTTATAATGTTTGGCTGTTCTGCAAGCTGCAAATTCAGTTGAAGAGAATCTGATTAGAGTAATGGTTGAACAGTACTTTTTTCCTGCCGAGGCCTTTCTGAAATGCTTTCACGAATAGTTGCACCAGTGTCTGGTCCCAAGGAAACAAAACTGACTGGCATTAGGATTTCAGGAACTTGTTATGATGTCGGGCCCAAACATAGCCTAATTGGGCTTTCATTCATGCTTTCTCACCTGTGACACGAGCTTGTCTGTGTTACAGGGGTGTAAAAATGTTGTAGGTTTGCGAAGAGCTTTGTATATTGTGCGTAAGATAGGTGGTGAGCTACGCAGCAACATTGCGTATATAACGTTCAGGTACAACATGAATTTAGATCAGCTGTCAGCATTGATGAGCGACAAGGAGAAGAGCATTACTTTTCTGCAGCAAGAGGAGTTTTTAGGGTGCAGCAGAAAATGTTAACAATTCTGAAGCCATGGAATTTACTCTGGCCTCTCTCGTGGGACCTAGGCTGAGGCTGTGGAGTAGTGGGGTTAGGGTCAGTTCTTTATGTTCTGAAGTCGTTAAAAGCAGTTTAGTATAGAACACGCGACATCATCGCTGATAGCATCGAAGACAAGATGACATGACACCCCTGTAACATAGACTAGCCCTGTGTCACAGGTGAGAAAACATGAGTGAAAGCCTGAATACGCTATGTTTGGGCCGGGAATCATAATAAGAACCGGATTTCACATCTCCAACTTCCCTGTATGGGTTCCGGGGCGCCATTTTGGGCGAAAGAATAATAGACCCACTGGCCTTCCCTAACACATATGTCATAAAATGCAACTAATTAGTGTTATTTCCTTTGAAGTTGGCGTACATCTGCCTCAGAGGCCAGGAACCAACATTTTATGCATATATGTGTGTGTGTGTAAGCCAAATGTGTAAAACTGAGGTTTATGAAAAACTCAAGTTCTGGAACATGACTAAAATTCAGAAGTGGATTACCAATCTGAACTTTTCTCTGGAATGTACAACTGGTGTATGCGAAGAAGGAGATCTGCAACTGAGTAATAGTATTTTTCCTATGCACAGGCCAGATAATCTTTGAACATGTTCAGAGAGGAGATGGACCTTGACAAGTAGATCTCTCATCCTGTTCACTTGCAGTGTTGTCTTTTTTCCTACATGCTACCACTGTGACCCGTAAAGAGTTGAGTTAACCTAATTTGTAAAAAAAATGTTAAGAAATATAAGTGGTGTGCAGTGTCTTAACAGCCCAGTGGTCTGGGTTCAGTATTCAGTTCAGGGTATTTTTTCCCAATCAACATGGCTTTAGTTGGAAAAAGTCTTGAGGGATGGGTATGATAGATTCTCCTGAGAAAGCAAGCTTTTTAGTTTGGTTTGTGAATGTTCATCCTCATTGTGCTCAGATCTCAGATAACTTCATACTTCTGGAGTCTTCTCACTTAGACCGCTCAGGAAGAATCTCAGCATAGTAAACAGCTTCTGTAGCACTGCTGGAGATTCAGATAATTTAAATTGACAATCTCCAAGTGCATATTTTTACATATTGATGATAAGCCTGCAGTAACACACGTAGATGTATGATGGGCATCTCCAAGTGCACATATTCACATATTGATGATGAGCCTGCAGTAGCTCAAGTGTGTGTATGATGTGCACATATTTGACTGTAGATAATGGGCACACTAGTAGAATTATGTCCTTGTTGTGCACCTGTAAGTGCACACATTTGGATAATAATAATGAGAACACTAGCAGAATATGTATTTTGAACAAGTAAATGAAAAGATGTCCTTTGCCAAGTTTGAACAATGTTAACAAGAGAGGTTTCGAAACATTGGTGGGTATCTTTTCTGTACCACAAGGTTTTTATCTTGAACAGGATGAAACCACAGGGTTTTCAAAAGCAGTAATGGTCCTGAAGTACTGACACTTTTAGACATCTGATTCAGTCGGCACGAACATGATCTAGCATAATATTTTTTTTTTTTTCAAGTCTGAAGATAGGAGTAGGTAAGCTCTTGAAGTGACACGGAACTGATTTGTTCATCGTGATTGTATCCGCCAGCAACGATATTAAGTATGAACCTAATTTGTTTATTGTTGTCTTTATGGTGTCTTTTTGATTAAAACTGAGTGTTTTTTGTTTCTATACAGGAAGAAAGAAATCGACAAACTTGTGATGAAAATGATTAATGAAGATGAGGAGACTGGTAAAGAAAAATCTAAAAAGAAAGAGGAAGAAAGCAAAAAGAAAGACTTAAAGGAGGAAAGCAGCAAGAAAAACTCTAAAGAGGAAGAAAGTAAAAAGAAAAGCTCCAAAGAGGAAGAAAGTAAAAAGAAAAACTCAAAAGAGGAGAAGGGTAACAAGAAAAACTCCAAAGAAGAAGACAGTAAAAAGAAAAATTCAAAGGAAGAGAGTAAAAAGGCAGATTCAACAGAGAAAGAAGAAGAAAATAATGGTCACAATGGTGTGGGCAGCGGCAGAGCAAGTGATGCAGAATCAGGAGACGAAGTTTGTATAACCTCTTGTGATATTTTTTATATTCAACTTTCGGTTGATGAATTATTATAATATTTTTTTGTCTGAATTATTATTACATTTATATTAAACGGCAGTAGCATAAAGAGAGATAACTCACTAAAACATCTAGGAATTAATTCTGACAGAGACTAGAGTCTGTCTTCTAAACACCATGTGGAAGAGGTAGTTTTAAAGATAAGGAAAGGATTCAGTGCTTTGAAGATGATGGAATCAGCGGACATGGGACGGGAAATGCTCTGTGCTCTCTTCCAGCAACTGATTATTTTGGTGATGGAGTCTACTTTGGGACTGCTAACATTATCTCATGGAGTCCACTTTGGGACTGCTAACATTATCTCATAGAGTCCACTTTGGGACTGCTAACATGATCTCATGGAGTCTACTTTGGGACTGCTAACATGATCTCATGGAGTCCTGGACTGCTAACATGATCTCATGGAGTCCCGGACTGCTAACATGATCTCATGGAGTCCCGGACTGCTAACATGATCTCATGGAGTCCCGGACTGCTAACATTATCTCATGGAGTCCCGGACTGCTAACATGATCTCATGGAGTCCCGGACTGCTAACATGATCTCATGGAGTCCCGGACTGCTAACATGATCTCATGGAGTCCCGGACTGCTAACATTATCTCATGGAGTCCCGGACTGCTAACATGATCTCATGGAGTCCCGGACTGCTAACATGATCTCATGGAGTCCCGGACTGATAACATGATCTCATGGAGTCCTGGACTGATAACATGATCTCATGGAGTCCTGGACTGATAACATGATCTCATGGAGTCCACTTTGGGACTGCTAACATGATCTCATGAAGTCCACTTTGGGACTGGGACTGCTAACATGATCTCATGATCTCATGGAGTCCACTTTGGGACTGCTAACATGATCTCATGGAGTCCACTTTGGGACTGCTAACATGATCTCATGGAGTCCACTTTGGGACTGCTAACATGATCTCATGGAGTCCACTTTGGGACTGCTAACATGATCTCATGAAGTCCACTTTGGGACTGCTAACATGATCTCATGGAGTCCACTTTGGGACTGCTAACATGATCTCATGGAGTCCACTTTGGGACTGCTAACATGATCTCATGGAGTCCACTTTGGGACTGCTAACATGATCTCATGGAGTCCACTTTGGGACTGCTAACATGATCTCATGGATCCACTTTGGGACTGCTAACATGGGAGTCCACTTTGGGACTGCTAAACATGATCTCATGGAGTCCACTTTGGGACTGGAGTCCACTTTGGGACTGCTAACATGATCTCATGAAGTCCACTTTGGGACTGCTAACATGATCTCATGGAGTCCCACTTTGGGACTGCTAACATGATCTCATGGAGTCCACTTTGGGACTGCTAACATGATCTCATGGAGTCCACTTTGGGACTGCTAACATGATCTCATGGAGTCCACTTTGGGACTGCTAACATGATCTCATGGAGTCCACTTTGGGACTGGACTGCTAACTAATGATCTCATGGAGTCCACTTTGGGACTGCTAACATGATCTCATGGAGTCCACTTTGGGACTGCTAACATGATCTCATGGAGTCCACTTTGGGACTGCTAACATGATCTCATGGAGTCCACTTTGGGACTGCTAACATGATCTCATGGAGTCCACTTTGGGACTGCTAACATGATCTCATGGAGTCCACTTTGGGACTGCTAACATGATCTCATGGAGTCCACTTTGGGACTGCTAACATGATCTCATGGAGTCCACTTTGGGACTGCTAACATGATCTCATGGAGTCCACTTTGGGACTGCTAACATGATCTCATGGAGTCCACTTTGGGACTGCTAACATGATCTCATGGAGTCCACATGATTTGGGACTGCTAACATGATCTCATGGAGTCCACTTTCTGCTAACTTTGGGACTGCTAACATGATCTCATGGAGTCCACTTTGGGACTGCTAACATGATCTCATGGAGTCCACTTTGGGACTGCTAACATGATCTCATGGAGTCCACTTTGGGACTGCTAACATGATCTCATGGAGTCCACTTTGGGACTGCTAACATGATCTCATGGAGTCACTTTGGGACTGCTAACATGATCTCATGGAGTCCACTTTGGGACTGCTAACATGATCTCATCTCCATGGAGTGGAGTCCACTTTGGGACTGCTAACATGATCTCATGGAGTCCACTTTGGGACTGCTAACATGATCTCATGGAGTCCACTTTGGGACTGCTAACATGATCTCATGGAGTCCACTTTGGGACTGCTAACATGATCTCATGGAGTCCACTTTGGGACTGCTAACATGATATCATACCCAAATAGAGAACGCATATAAAATGAAGCCATGCGAGTCATTTTAGGTGTACACAAGACATGCCAATTGTGTGCATGCAACATATATTTTCACAAACTGTATATGAGAGATACAGGGTTTTACAGGCGAAAATGTATCTTAAGGTCGCAACAGATAGGGAATACCTTCTGCATGGGGCCTTAGGGGATAGCAAGGGATAACGGTTGAAAAGAGATGGTGCTTGGATGACACAGGCAGAAGTCACGATCAGAACTGTGCTACTGACAAGAAAGTGCAAAGTGAAGAATGGGTTATAGTGCCCCTTAGCACAGAGTGATAGTTACCTTGGACCGAGGGTGCCGGGAATGGATAGCTGGTGAAACAGAATCAGCGGTGCAAGAGCTGATGAATGATAGTTCTTGCCCCAGTCACATAATATACACACATGGGTCTGTAGTGAGAGGTAAAAATAGTGGGGAGGGGGAGGGGTTATTGCAAAAAGTGAATGGGCACTGCTTGACAACAGAGAGCCTCACATACAATGTCACTACATCCAGTATGAGAATGGAGGTGGAGGCAGTCACAGCAGCTTTTTGATGGCTTGAGAGCAGCACAGCTGGATGTGTTGTAATTGTAACAGACTCACAGAGCATGCTTCAGAAAGTTGAAACTGGTGTCCTGCACACAGAGTGGCTTGCATCTCTTGATCAGATCCAGATCAAGAGCTTATCATGGATTTTCTGTCCAAGGTATTCAGAAGTACAAGGTAACAAGCAGGCTGATAGATTAGCTGCTGCTGCTTCTATGGGCAGTGAGCTACTATGTGAGAAACGGATGTGTGAAGGCTCTATGGGATCAAATAGACAGGGCAAAAGAACAGATAGGGAATCCATACATTAAAAGACTAATTTAATGGTTGGTGAGTAGAGGTTCTGAAAGATATTCAACACTAAAGGGAAACAGAGGCTGATTTTTAATCAGGTTGCAATTAGTACCATTAGCATGTTAACTGTTGATCGGTTACTGAAGAAGGGGATGGAGGACGTGGGGGAATGTCCAGAGTTAGACAGCAACAGTGCCAGCACACTTTAAAGTCCACAATAAACAGTACGTTTCAACTTTCAACTTGAAATGCTTTATTGGCTCTTCCAAGATGCACATCATCCTATGTCTACTGTCGCTAACACTAACAGTCTAAGTTTGGAAAGCAGGTTCTGGATCCTTCTTCAAGCATAAATACTGGTATCACCACTTACAGCATATTCCTCCGGCAACAAATCTCCCCTTTCAGGCATTCACAGTCGGTCAGCGTCGGGATCCATTGATTGTTGATTACCATTGACCACTGCCGTGCCTGTCCCACTGCCATTTTATCGCCTATCATGTGGCCAGATACACTTCGCTGTAGGCTGCTTGTGTAAATTTAACTTGCTGGTACATGCACACATTCATTCTACACTTACGGCTCGTCCAAGAGCCAAACACAGAATTTTCCTTAGTCCTCTCACCCTTATGATTATCCGTTCATTTCCCACACAATTTCTTAACATCGCTCAGTTATTCTCATGCTGTACAATCGTTACGCAAAATCTCTTGTTTGTCTTTTCTGACATGTCTTTCTTAAGCCCCGCCTCTTACACATAATTTATGCTAACTTGATGTTTACTTAATACATCATATAGTGTCAGATTACAGTCAGAAATTATTGGCAACTGTAGACAGAAAACTATTGACAAACATGATAGTCAATACCGTACAGCATAGTGGTTAGAGAGAGCACCTTTTGGCACCGTTGTCTTTCCAGACAATAGTGCTATACTATTCAGACTGAAAAGTACTTTATACGAAGCGAACAGAAGGGCCCATCCCAAAATCTTTTCCTTCCCTGATGTTGTGAGGCATTCCAAGAGTAGAGGAAAGAAGAAGAAGTGCCGTAGAAATGTGCCTTTTTAATGCTGGGTTGGATCCCAACTGCAGGCAGTTGGGCAGAAGACCGCCTTGTATTGGTTTTGACAGTGGTATGGAGAGCCGAAAATCCAGAAAGCCTTAACAAACAACAGAACATAAATTTGCCTAGGAAAACCACAACAGCCAAAAGATGTTGAAGCTGGTTCTGCAACATTCTGTAAAGGACAGGCTCCTAAAAGTAGGAAGGTGTGGGGATTACAGCCCCTGGTGATGGAGAGAGTGTTTAGCAGGACCCGCTGCCTTTAAGAAAAGCCTTCTGCAGTTAGGCATTGTGATTTCAGAATCATTGTTGCCCTTACAACAGTTTGTAACTTGATGATAACTTATTTGGAAGCTGCAGAGATGTGGTTTTATAGACGATGATGAGAGTACTCTGAACAGATGAGATGAGTAACGAAGACATCTTAAAAGAAACTGGCTCACGAAGAGAACTGATTGCCCACATCAGAAAGAGACAATCTACATTCTTTGGTCATGTGATGAAAAGGAAAAAAAACTGGAGTACATCGTGACGGTAGGAAAGTTGTAGTGGAGGATGATGTTCTGACACAGAACCAGAATAATAAATCTAGAAAAATAAACCCAAAATAATAAATTCAGAATAATAAAGGACCTTTTTGCACTATTGGCTCATGGGTGAGATGGTGCTAGACCCCTGTTGTTTTAAAATACCATTTGGCATTCAATAGATGAGGCAGTTATCATGATGCCAGCCGCATTTACTTCCCAGGTTGGCAGCCATAGGTCAATCATTACACCCCCCCCCCCCCCCCCAAAAAAAAAAAACCAGCATAGGGGAAATCAGAATCATCAACTTTAAGCTTGCTACTAGCACAGAGAAAATCAAAATCATGTATCAACTTTGAGCTTACCATTAGCACAGAGAAAATCAAAATCATGTATCAACTTTGAGCTTGCTACCAGCACAGAGAAAATCAAAATCATGTATCAACTTTGAGCTTGTTACTAGCACAGAGAAAATCAAAATCATGTATCAACTTTGAGCTTACCATCAGCACAGAGAAAATCAAAATCATGTATCAACTTTGAGCTAACTACTAGCATGGGGAAAAGCAAAATCATGTACCAACCAGCACTAGGCAAAGTTGTATACTGAACTAACCATTTTGTTAATTGGCAAGAAATTAAAGTCTGTAGATAGATTCATGTGTACACTGTCTCAGAATGTCACTATCTATTATGTGTCTGCATGTCCATGTGTTTGTCTGTGGGTGCATGCACATGTGTCTGCGTGTCCATGTGTTTGTCTGTGGGTGCATGCACATGTGTCTGTGTGTCCATGTGTTTGTCTGTGGGTGCATGCACATGTGTCTGTGTGTCCATGTGTTTGTCTGTGGGTGCATGCACATGTCTGCATGTGTAGAACCTGCTTACACGAATTCCAGGGGACCCACACAACAACAAAATCAAGAGTTTGTTACATGAATCCATGCTAAACTATACAATAATAAAACCTCCTTGCTGGGGCATAAATTGTGTTCGTGATAATCAAGCATTCATCTTAAGTTAGTTTCTGTTAATGAGGTTTTACTGTGTGTGTATGTGTGTATATATATATATATATATATATATATATATATATATATATATATATATATATATATATATATATATATATATATATATATATATATATATATATATATATATATATATAAGTTATTATTTATCATTGTTTTCCCAGGTGCCAAAGAAAAAAGCAAAGAAAGCCGCCAATTTGAAGGTAAATATTGTTTGTACATTGGTGTTTACAGGGGAAGGTACTCCCATAGCAGATAAATTCTGTTGTGGTGTTTAGTGTTGAACCTTCACATCTTATAAGTCATGTCCACTGAACTCACTTGTTAATCTCTTCTGCCCCGAAAGATCTACAAACAGTCCTCTATTTTGTGTGTGTGTGTGGTTAAATTGAGCCTAGGCTTGTATTGGTCAGAATAACTAATCCGGAGAATTGGTTCTTGACCAGTGTTTTGTGAGGCAAGTCACCGATCACGATGCCACCACAACACAAGGTAAAAGGACTTTCTCCCCATGCCTTCAGGCCTAATGGAGACCTATATTGTATAGACCAGTGGGCACTCTGTGGGTGATGTCGCCAGCTGCCATTACTTTCCAGGACTTTACCTGATACCCATTTATGGCTGAATGGACCTAGTAGTCAAGCTCATTTTTATTTTTCAAGTTGGACTCCATCAGGACCTGAATCCAGGACTTTCGGATGGATCTGCTGACGAGCGACAACTCAGAGTAGATGAAAACAAAAATGTGCTTGGCTTTTTTTTTTTTTTTTTTTAAATAGTTATAAAACTATTTCATTTACAAATAAACTGGGGGAAAAAAATGTTAGTATAATGGATTATTACAAGTACATATGCATTTATTTTCAGAAATGTTTGAAACTTCCTAACACACACACACACACACACACACACACACACACACCCCCCCTCCCCCTTTTCCCCAGGTTGGAGACCACTGGTGTAAACAGAAATGATATTAAAGCAGTGTTCCCCACTGTAATGTGGAACAAAAGACACAAACAATCAATTGCACAATAGATTGCCTGACATTGTTCGCTGTATCTCATCATTTGCATGCTGCAGTAGGGATACAGAAAGGACATGACACAAAATGAATATAATAATGGATCTCTGCCATTGTTTAGGTCCTCAGTATGATTCTTAATTGTGTTTGTTTTCTGTTTATGTGGACAGAAAAGGAAATCAGCAAGTAAAGCAGATGACAGTGAAGATCCTGTCATGTCCAGTGTCAAGCAGGTTTGTTAGTTTCAACATATCATGTCATGTGTGTAGTTTGGATCCATTGTTCCATGTGCAATTGTACATATTGTCTCACATGCATGCATAGTTTTCACAAATTGTTTTACATGCAGTTTTTGTGTGCATTGTTTCACATGCACAGTTTTTGTATATTGTTTCACATACACAGTTTTCACATACTGTTTTACATGCACAGTTTTTGCATATTGTTTCACTGGCGTTTTTTTTTTTTTTTAATCCAGAAACCGTGAGTTGTAAACCCTTTGGCACGGTACTATGGATAGCTCAACCCTTCAGCTGTGATTCCATTATATGTAACCTAAATCTGGGAGAAATGTGGCTTTTCTGCCTGCCCCTGGGCATGAACCCGGACCACAAGTAGTTCGTCACTCGGCTGTAGCGACATCAGCGTCAACCAGCTACGCAAGCGAGCCTGGCTGTTTCACATACATAGTTTTCACATTCTGTTTCACATGCACAGTTTTTGCTTATTTCACATACATAGTTTTCACGTACTGTTTCACATGCACAGTTTTTGCATATTGTTTCACATACATAGTTTTCACATACTGTTTCACATGCACAGTTTTTGCATATTGTTTCAGATACATAGTTTTCTCATATTGTTTCACATGCATAATTTTCACATGCACAGTTTTCACATATTCTTTTACATACAGTTTTCATGTTTGTTTCACATTAATAGTTTTTATTTATTGTTTCATGTGCATAGTTTTTACATATTATCACCTAGTTATTGTCACCCCTAAATGTTCCAGTCCTGCACACACAACTAGTTTTTGAGGAGGGAGGGTAGCTTTGCAATTCAGTCCTCAGACTGTGGGATAGTTGCTGGAGCTAGGGTGTTGTGCTTTCTGTGGATGCTCTCTGCAGGTGGTTAGCCATTTTGAAGAGACAGACAGAGCCACAGAGGATATAACCCAGTGCAATGAAGTAGTACTCTCGACTTTAACCTTTAACCTTGTAACATTAAGCCATTTGTAGACTTAGTCCTGATTTGTTGGATTTTGCAGCTGAAGTCTTATGGGATGTGATATTACCTAACAGCAACCTTTAGTCTAGTCTCGTTAATCGAAGTTTCAAAATCACTGCAGACAGCTAGGTCGCCTCATAACAGCTCCTTTCCTGTGTCAGTGCAAATTGCACAAAATGTCCTTGGCTGTCCCATTAAAAGCTAGTTAAAAACTTGTCAGTCCCAGCAAAATCTTAAAGCTTGCACCTGCAATTAAAAATGCATAAGGCAGCTTTCAGATATCCTAACACTAACAGTCCCACACTAGAATTGTAGGTCACCAGCCTTTAGTCATCTCTTATAACATGCAGGCTAGGTTACAGAATGATTATTCTTCGCTTCTCTAACAAACTGGCACCTCATGTGGATCACTGTCTGTGTTCATGAATGTGCCTCACAATACAAAGGATTAATTATTTCCTCATGGTTGTAGTTAGTCTCGTCTGCTCCTCTGTGCTCACCGGCTGTAAATTCTGACTTAAAATTCCAGGTGTTAGTCTGCCTGCAGACTTTAGCCTTCGTTCCATGACTTGAGTTTTGTGTGCACATCTGTTTTACATATCTGACTCATTTGTGTGCATACTGTTGGTTCCTTGCCTCTCAGACAGATGCACTCTGACTTTGAAGAAAACCTTCTAATTAATTGACTTACAACAAGGCTGTTAGGGAGGCAATGGGACTGTTCTTTTTTCCCCACACAGTGGGGCCTGGAACCCACACAGTGGGGCCTGGAACCCACACAGTGGGGCCTGGAACCCACACAGTGGGGCCTGGAACCCACACAGTGGGGCCTGGAACCCACACAGTGGGGCCTGGAACCCACACAGTGGGGCCTGGAACCCACACAGTGGGGCCTGGAACCCACACAAGGTTTTGATTAATGATCTTTCAACACCCACAGTTGTGTTCCTTATTTGTGAGGTAGCATTTTAAATTCCTCAGTGTATTAACTGTAACCAGTATTTAAAAACTTAAGAGCCAGTGACTTGTGATTTTTGTTTAGATGGATGATGAAGATTTGGCTAAGAAATTACAAGAAGAGGAACTTGCTCCAAGGCGTCGAAGAGCTGCAGCTGTAAGTAACTGTATTATAGATTTTTTTTCTGTTCATTGTTCATATAGCTGTGTTGTTGACCTGATTCTGTTTGACACTAGGTTTGTTTCTGTTCATGTAGCTGTGTTGTTGACCTGATTCTGTTTGACACTAGGTTTGTTTCTGTTCATTTAGCTGTGTTGTTGAACTGTTTCTGTTTGACACTAGGTTTGTTTCTGTTCATGTAGCTGTGTTGTTGACCTGTTTCTGTTTGACACTAGGTTTGTTTCTGTTCATGTAGCTGTGTTGTTGACCTGATTCTGTTTGACACTAGGTTTGTTTCTGTTCATGTAGCTGTGTTGTTGAACTGTTTCTGTTTGACACTAGGTTTGTTTCTGTTCATGTAGCTGTGTTGTTGATCTGATTCTGTTTGACACTAGGTTTGTTTCTGTTCATGTAGCTGTGTTGTTGACCTGATTCTGTTTGACACTAGGTTTGTTTCTGTTCATGTAGCTGTGTTGTTGACCTGTTTCTGTTTGACACTAGGTTTGTTTCTGTTCATGTAGCTGTGTTGTTGACCTGATTCTGTTTGACACTAGGTTTGTTTCTGTTCATGTAGCTGTGTTGTTGAACTGTTTCTGTTTGACACTAGGTTTGTTTCTGTTCATATAGCTGTGTTGTTGAACTGTTTCTGTTTGACACTAGGTTTGTTTCTGTTCATATAGCTGTGTTGTTGAACTGTTTCTGTTTGACACTAGGTTTGTTTCTGTCCATATAGCTGTGTTTTTTAACTGTTGCGTTTTGACGCCTAAGTTTGTTTTCATTTGATATTGTGGATATTTCTGAACATTGTTTATTAAGTTGTGATTATTTGACATATATGTACAACAATTCATTTACACATACATAACTAATTATTTACATAGTAAAGGGTCATAGATATGTTTCTGTTTCCTTAATTTGCCCCCCCCCCCCCCCCACCCCTCATGTGTTTAAGATGTTACTGAAAATAGTTTACCAATATTAGTTTCAGCCATTGCTGAAGAAGGACAGAGAAAAAGATACTGACAAAAAGAAGAAACGTAAGTTTAAATTTAATGAAGTTTATATGTGCTTTTCAAATCAGTAACATTCTTTATTTGTATGTTAAACTGCCTGTCACATGGTCATTTGTTACTTATCTGTAATTTTATAGTACGTCCCTAAACTTCATATTATGGTAAATTGTTACATCTCTGTAACATTATAGCAGCTTGCATATCCTTTACAGGATGTTGCAGAACCAACCTCAGCAATTTTTGGCTGTTTGCTTTCACTAGGCTATTTTATGTTCAGTAGTTTGCCATTGCTTTATGAATCACTGGTGCTGCATAACTTTGTTGAAGTTAATGCAAAGTGGTCTGCTGCCAAATTGCATGCAGCTGGAATTGAACCATGGATTTGGAGATTACAAAATATGTTCGCATTGCTTAAGCCACAGATGTTGAGATTGATGTATAATAGATTATCAACTGTTATGTATGGTAAATTGTTACACTACTGTATGGTACATGTATATAGCACATCGTCTTCTTCATTTGTTCTTAAAAGGGTAATTGGCATGTTGTTTACAGCTAGGCTGTGATATATACACCTTTAAGCCCAGCACGTCCAATTTCGGCAGACCCCTCATTTTTATGACATGCATGTTAGAAGGCAAAGGTCAACTTTCTTTTCCTAGATTGAGGTCCAGGGAGCAGCAGGGTATTTTGCATAATAAATAGTTCCTGTATGTGTTTATTACATCATATAATGTGTTTACTACATCACAGAATGTGTTTACTACATCACAGAATGTGTTGTTTTCATGGCAAATTGGTTTTCAAAATGACAGATAGCAGCGGTGTTTATTTTCGCTGGCCGTCAGTTCTCTTGGATTGTTCTGTTTCCTAATCATGGACTGCTGATATGTGCGCATGTCTAACGCAGATTACTATGTGTTTTTCGTGGGAGCAGCGTGTATTGTGGTTGTGCTATGTTGGGGTGGGATAATGACCGATAGTTTTAGCAGCTTCGACCGCGCAGCCTTCACAATGTTTCGATTGAGGCGGTCCACTCGGGAAGACAGAATCTCGTCAGCAGGGGACTGCAACTGTCTAGAGAGCAAACTCGATAAAAGCTATCCCCAGAAACAGAATGTGTCAACCATATATTTGGTGGGGAGGAATCGACACATACAGTTAACTCAAAGGCCATGGCAGAATGTTACAGCCCTTTATATTTTTACTACATCACAGAATGTGTTTTTTTCATGGCAGATTTTTACAGTCCTGTATTTGTTTTGAAAACTGAATTTTCTGCTACACATTATGCGAGGCTGGGCAGTATAAGCGATTCTTTTACAAGTCAGCTACACCAAAGTGGCATCTTTCAGTGACTTAACCCGGATCTTTCAGTGACCAAATCTGGAACTTTCAGTGACCAAACCCAGATCTTTCAGTGACCAAACCCAGATTATTCAGGGACCAGGTCCAGATCTTTCAATGACCAATCCCAGCTCTTTCAGTGATCAGTATCAGATCTTTCAGTTACTAGATCTTTCAGTGACCAAACCAAGTTGTTGGTATGTCTGTTTTGCCATAAAGATGTTTTTGTGTGTGAATATTTAAAAAAAAAATTTATTTGAAAACTGTTAATTAAAATGTCATAACTATGCAGAATTTCTCTTTTCCTTGGCTGAGTACAGATGGCAAGTCAAGAAGTGCTGATGACTTTGTAGTTTACAGCGATGGAGAATCTTCAGGTACTTGTAAACCATTTCTTCTTGTGAAGTCTTACATCTGGCCTGAGCAGTCATGCTTTGTCACAGCCGCTGTTCTTTAGAAGCATATATGAATGTATGAAACAGGTTGAAGTATGGTAAGGCTGTTGAAATACAGTTTAGAAATAAACAGAAAATGGCAAGGTTCAGCTAATATGGACTCGAGTGCTAGCTGAAATGGCTGGGATTTTTTCACGTGAACTTGGACTTCTAGTAATTCCCCCTGGTCTTTGTGTAGTGAGATAGGACACACGTGTGCATTGTTGTGCACATAAAAAATCCCTTGGCAGTTGGAAATTGCAAAGGCTAGCCTAACGGCGCTGCCCTGGCAAAAATGTGGAGTTAAAAATCTACCCTAAGTATTTCAGGATCCTCACCGGTGCTACAGAGCCTGTGCACTGACTGTGCTGAGTTTCTTCATACTCAAGCTTGAGTTAGAAGAAGAACCGAGCACTTATGGGTACTAGCCATGTGCCATGATGTTTATCCGTTTTTCAAACTTCAAGTCTTATGCCTAAATTTTAATTTTGCGAGCACAAATCTGGCTTATTTGAATGCAGAATTTTGGTTACATCTCAGGCAGATGCACTCTGACATTGAAAGAAACATCCCTGATTAGTCAGCTTTTATCACATGCTTTTTGGAGGGAAAGGGGGGGGGGGAGCAGGGCCCTTTCGACTACAACTGGGACCCTGGGCTCACACAGGGAAAGAGGTGCACAAATTTTAGTGATTAATTTACAGAAATAAGTCTAATAAATCAGCTTCATGAACAATAGACTAGTCAGAATGAGATTAGATGGAGTTGAAAATATGTACAGAATAAAAGTAAAGGACCTTTTTCACACCTTCGATCATATAGGGCATGACATATATTTAAAGACAAGTGGGCTCTTGGTGGTTGATGTGGTCAGCATCATGCAGGGTGTTGATTATGGTCATACTTGAATGCACTTTTTTCCATGAACAAAACTTGTGGTGCTCTCTGCAGAGCACAGAACAATTAATAGGTAATGCATGTACATGTCCATATGTGATACAAATGTGTTGGACCAGTATACTGTGATTTTAGGAGTCGCCATGGTCGGTAGGTCATGGATTCGCTACTCGGCGAGCTGGACTTTTTTCAAAAATGACCTTGGCTCCCAGGTAGACCCAGCCTTGAGTGGGTACGGGGTGCAGTCCCAGGAAGTAAAGGCGGCCGGAGGTGATGCTGACCACATCACCCATCTTGTGCCGATAGGCCTATAAAATATAGGTCTAGCCCTATGTGCCTAAAGGCGTGAAAAAGAGTCCTATACTTTTTAAAAAACTACTTAATGTGATTTTAATCATAAACTGATTTGATAGAAAATCACATGTTTCTTGTCATGTCATGTTTTGTATGTAAAGTGAAGACTATGTTTATAATCAGCATTTTAAGGTATGCTGCTTTTAGAGATGCGGTTATGGAGGAAAATTTGTGAATTAGAATTGATTAATATCCAACGTTATCGTCCTAAAAGATGGAAAGGTGCCAGCAAGACTAAAGAGATACTGCAATGGTTTCTGCTTTCTGTTTTATGAGAGAAAGTCTAGTCTGGATTAGTAGAAGTGACAAGGACCTAAGAAAATGCTTCCACTTATCTGGACTTCTACTTATCCAGACAGCACACACAAGAGAGAAAATTGCTGGGACTAAGCTGGTCATGTCGACTTAACCGAAATTCGACTTATCTGAGTTCAACTTAAGTGGACTTGACTGTATAACAGAATTGGCTGGGACTTTGAAAAGGAATATGAGTACCAACTCTACATTCTGTGTTCCATTGTTATGTTATCTCTTAGATATCAAGGTTTAGACAATTGTAATTTGTTGTGTTTGCTTGCTTGCAGGATCCTAAAATACCAACAGTTGATGATGTGATGCTAACATGGAAACTCTCTTTGGTATGTTTAAAGTCATGGCAGATTGTTGATTTAGTTTGGATCCTTGGGCAATAAAATACTATAGCAGAAGGTATGGTACCAGGAAGGAGGGGCAGGGGCCGACCAACAAAAATATATGCACAGGATATCAGTGACTCCTTTAGTATGAAAGTACATGAGGCGGGAGAGCTGGTGAGAGACCGAGTTTCTTTCAGGCAGACAGTGATTACAGCGACGTTCTGCAAAGGACCTGCTACATGATGATGATGAGGCTTGGGCAAGATGAGATTCTGGACAGCCTGTTATGGCATGGAGGTGTGTCAGCACATGAGTCTGATACATGCTGTTGTGCAGGTTTTGTAGGGGCATGATAACAACACCTGCTTGGTGAGGCACTTGATGTTGATACAAATCTGCCTTCTGTGCAGATTTGAACAAAGGAACTTTGGGTCAGCAGGCAACTGTCTAACCCTTAACTGATTTTTGTTTACATGTATCTTTCTATAGATAGGTGGTGAATTGATGCATGACAAGGCAGATGTCAAGGCCCTTTGGGAACAAGCAACGGAATCAGTAGAGAAAGAAGATTATTTTGGCCTGGAAAGAAGAGGCACCTGGGTGTAACCAGAGGGTCTGGCTGGCTCACTACACTCTGAGGAAAGGCAAGACGGACATATAACCAGATTGTGACCGGTACCATCAGTATTCGAAATCTGCGCTGGCTGCTGAAGATGAGGACGGAGCACGCATGGGAATGCCCCGAGTGCTGTGATGTCAATTCTTGACTCAACTCAACATTCCCATAGATAACAGCCTCTGACTCTGTAGCACACATCCCTTGATGCATGAGAAAGGCGTGCTCATTTCTCCGTCCTGTGTACACCTGCCCTGACATATTCAAGTTTGTTCAGACAATTGTCAGAAATGTATTGTCTTCTTGGTGAACTACGATGTGGCAGCACTCTTTATATGGGACCCTTTTCCACACCTTCTGGGCATATAGGACTAGACTGGTATTTTGTAGGTAAAATGGAATTGGTATATGATGGGGTCAGCATTACACCAGCTATCTATACTTCCCAGGACTTTACCTGGTACCCACTCAAGGCTGGGTCGACCTGGGAGCAAAGGTCAGTTCTTAAAAAAAAAAAAAACCTGGCTTTGTTCAGATTCAAATCCGCCACCTTCAGACGCCTCTTTGGCCAGCTTCTGGCTGCTACATCACTGCGGCTGTCTCTTTATTTAGGACTCACGAATTGTGTTATTCTGTTGCTTAGAGGTTAGTAAATGGGTTAGTAAGGTCCTCGAGTTGTAAGTTCAATTTTTGGGGTGGACAGTTTATTTAAAATATCGTTCTTATAGTTTTTGGACTGTTGTTTGAGAGTCGCACCATGGGAGGGATTAGAGCCTGACCACCTAATGTTTCTAAAGACAGCAGCGCGTAGACTGTAGCCAACCTTTAAAATGGAGATGGCCCAAAATCATTATAAAAAAAATGTGTATGTGCTATGTTGAGGGAAGATGTGTATTTAAAAAGTCAGTTGCATGTCCTATCAGGCCATTGCAGAAACAACCATAGCATTTTTTTAATCGTTGTATTTCTAGGCAAATTTACCATTGTCGGCTGAATAGTCGGCTCTTGATACCACTGTCAAAACTAACACAAGGCGGTCTGCTGTAAGATCATTTGCAGCTGAGATCGAACCTGGTACCCTGGCATTACAAAGCATGTTCGCTGTGCTTGAGCCATAGACACCAACATAAATGTATTAAAAAAACACACATTGTTTAAAAAAAAAATGCTGTTGGCCAGTGCTATGAGTAGATAGGTTGGAAAGAGTAGCGGTTTCTGGACTTCATGCTGTTTTTTTGTTTGTTGCAGGCGTAAAAAATAATGATGTTTGAATTGATGCACTGCCTTCAAGACTTACATCCCGGCTGATGATGACATCGGACAGAAATGGCCTGCCGTAGTATTTGTACAGTTTACAGGAGAATATGATTGTGTGTTTTTGGCAAACAGGCCGTTACAAAATGTCACAGAATAGATTCAGTTTGTTTGCTACAGTTTGTAGTGGCCTCCAGATATTTCTTTAAATAGACTTTACACAATTTTCACCAGATTTTACTTTTAGTAGACATAGTTGAATGGCTGCCTGTTTGTGAAAGGTATTTTTATATCATCAGTGGACATATTTCCTATATGAAAGTATTTTCAGTGTGCATTTCCATCTGACACTGTTTTTTGATTCACATTTACATTTATAGTTTATCATTTTCTTGCAATTTTAAAACATGACTATTTTATAGCTTTATGTTCATAGCCCAGTTTAGAAACATACAGAAAAATATCAAGACCATTGGACTTAAATTTGACAGAGAGTTTTTTTAGAATGAATGTTCCCCATTAGTGTTGCTGAGACAGCCCCATTCTCATGACGGATATCACAGTCTGGCTGTAAACCACAACATAACATGCTAACCACCTTTTTAAGGACATAAGCAGAAGAATAAAGATACTGTTGATCAAGAAAAACAGAAATAAATACACATTCTACAAGAGCAGTGCATCCAAGAAGGTGGGCTCACTAAGGGTATCGTGTCTTAGAACTCAAATATTGTGGCCACATCAAGTGTTACACTGGTTTAAGGAGAATGTTAATGGAAGACACGGATCCTGAATGATGAGGCAGGAGTCAACAAACATAATGGTTTAGGTCTAAATGACGGATCAACATCCTGGCACAAGGGTAGTAACCCATAAGTGCTCCGTTCTACTTCTGACTCAAGCCTGAGTCCAAAGAATCTCAGCGCAGTGCACAAACTCTAGCACAGACGAGGATGATGAAACACTTTGGGTCGATTTTAAACTCCAAATTTTGCTCAGGCAACACCGTATGGCTACTCTTTTTGATTTCCACCTGCCAGTGGATTTTTTTAACATGCCCAACAATACACACGGGCATCCGATCTTACTACCCAGAGACCAGGGGAAATTACTAGAAGTTGACGTGAACAAATCTCAGCCTTCACCGGGGCTTCAACCCGGAACCTCCAGCACTCGAGGCGGATGCTATCCCTCAACAGACATAATGAAGACACTAACGAGCAAACATTATTTTTAAATAGTCACAAATTGGCAATATTATCTGTTTGGCCTTTCCAAACTCTCATCTTTCACACAGCAGTTGTATTGTATGCGGGACATTAAGGAAACTCTAGGCACGACTGTACCTGAGGCAGTATAAACTGTCAAAGGATTTAAAAGAAAGTAATTCCAGCAGGTTTGGATGAGTGTGTAGCATTGTGAAAGGCTTCCTGCATGATGATATTAATCTCATAATTCTGTGCAAATGTTCTTGGTCTGCAGCAAATGTATAAATTTCCAGACAGTCTCATTTTGGTTGATCAGAATATCCTTGTAAAATCAAAGTATGAAGGAAATAAATGGCTGTATTTCTCAGAAACTATCCTATATATTAACCCTTAGAAATCACTTTGCCATGTGCTTTCAGAAATCACTGTGAATTTTATGCCAAAAATAACCTAACTAGTGTGTTCCTAGAAGTAACCATTGCCATGTACTCTTGAAAATCACTTTGCTAGTGTTATCTCATAAATGACCTTTTGAGCAGGAAGTTTCTGCATAAGTGTACTAAAGGGTTCAATTGATTTTGTGTCCAATGTCCTAAATACTACTGTAGTGGTTGGTGTCTTTCTTGATTGTGGAACCCATTTGACAAGTCCAGAGTCACAATAATTCAAAGCCTAGCAACTTGATTGGGTGCGCCTGCTGAGCAATTTAACCAAACAGACACGTTGCATTCAGTACTACAATCATTAACACGAGTTTGTCGCAAGTTTCCTAGAAGTTTCTCTTTCGTCATCTAGGACCAGTCAGCAGTGTCCTGTGTGGAGATGGTCTTGTTGTCAGCATTGTCCTGTGTGGAGATGGGCTTGTTGTCAGCATTGTCCTGTGTGGAGATGGGCTTGTTGTCAGCAGTGTCCTGTGTGGAGATGGACTTGTTGTCAACAGTGTCCTGTGTGGAGATGGGCTTGTTGTCAGCAGTGTCCTGTGTGGAGATGGGCTTGTTGTCAGCAGTGTCCTGTGTGGAGATGGACTTGTTGTCAACAGTGTCCTGTGTGGAGATGGGCTTGTTGTCAGCAGTGTCCTGTGTAAAGATGGGCTTGTTGTCAACAGTGTCCTGTGTGGAGATGGTCTTGTTGTCAACAGTGTCCTGTGTGGCGATAGACTTGTTGTCAAGAGTGTCCTGTGTGGAGATGGGCTTGTTGTCAACAGTGTCCTGTGTAAAGATGGGCTTGTTGTCAACAGTGTCCTGTGTGGAGATGGGCTTGTTGTCAGCAGTGTCCTGTGTGGAGATGGTCTTGTTGTCAGCAGTGTCCTGTGTAAAGATGGGCTTGTTGTCAACAGTGTCCTGTGTAAAGATGGGCTTGTTGTCAGCAGTGTCCTGTGTGGCGGTGGGCTTGTTGTCAACAGTGTCCTGTGTAAAGATGGGCTTGTTGTCAACAGTGTCCTGTGTAAAGATGGGCTTGTTGTCAGCAGTGTCCTGTGTAAAGATGGGCTTGTTGTCAACAGTGTCCTGTGTAAAGATGGGCTTGTTGTCAGCAGTGTCCTGTGTGGAGATGGGCTTGTTGTCAACAGTGTCCTGTGTGGAGATGGGCTTGTTGTCAACAGTGTCCTGTGTGGAGATGGTCTTGTTGTCAGCAGTGTCCTGTGTAAAGATGGGCTTGTTGTCAACAGTGTCCTGTGTAAAGATGGGCTTGTTGTCAGCAGTGTCCTGTGTGGCGGTGGGCTTGTTGTCAACAGTGTCCTGTGTAAAGATGGGCTTGTTGTCAACAGTGTCCTGTGTAAAGATGGGCTTGTTGTCAGCAGTGTCCTGTGTAAAGATGGGCTTGTTGTCAGCAGTGTCCTGTGTGGAGATGGGCTTGTTGTCAACAGTGTCCTGTGTGGAGA